GCTGTCATTGAGGGAAAATGTTAATAAATAACTGTGAATTTTGTTTATTTTCAAGATATTTGTTATTAATTGTCTATTTCTAATGTACTCTATTAATATTATGATTATATTTGATGGATCCACATGAACAAACTACATCATGTTTTCATAATCATTTTATTATATTGCTTTTACTTTTATTTAGTTTATATTTTAAATTTTCTACTGTTTTGTTACTAAATTTAGATGCATCAAATATTTGGGTGCCACTGTATCAAAAGTGTTTTTCCAAAAAACTGAGATAAAAAAATATGAAATTGCAAAAATGGGATGTTTGATTATTTACCAACTGTCTCTTATACACAAGATGTGTATAAGAGACAGCAATAATATATAGAAATTAAACATAATTATTAGGCCGGGCACACACCTTAGCGATATTCCTTGGCTGATGCAATTCCATGAAACATCACAATGCGATGAAGTTCACGCAACGGATCATTTTTAATAATGATCCCTTCAATCCACCCCCGACAACCAGCTCACAAAGAGTGAAGATTGATTCACACGAAGCAAAGTCAATGTGCAAAGAAAGTTTTATATGCAAAGAAATATTAAATATTAATCACTCACCGGAATGTCAGGACAGGTAGAGGGCGGTATGATTTGTGGCTTTCTTTCTTATACAATTTCTTGCCCCAGAAGTCATTCTGAAAGACATTTGACCATGATGACCCTGGTAACACATCTTTATTGTTCACAACCGCTTCCAAATCATCAAAAACAAAAGTTCCTGGAATGCTATTCGCATAACAGATGAATGCGAATATTATAACCACTATAACAGCCGCACGGAATGTAAGATTTGGTAGCGGTAAGTTTGAATCCCATTTGGGATCATTTACAACCGACGAGTTGATCACATGGTTATTGAATTGGTCAATCGTGCATTTGTCCCCTAGGTGTGTGTGATTACTGGAGGAATGACGACCATTGTAAAATGGTTTAGTGTGAAAGCGCCGTTGCGTATAATTGTTGTTGTTACGGTTGAGCATCGCTCATCGAATTATAAAGACTTTACATCCTGATGCAAATTAAACCTGAAAAAATAATTGAAAATCCCAAATTAACGGTATTTATTTTCAAGTTAGTAAACTGAAGCGAAATTGTCAATGGATGCTGTTGCGTGTCTATATGGTTTGGTGCCTGAATACGGTAAAGTATGGATAGACATGGGAGGCATATGCATGATCATTTCCTCCCTGGTTTTTTATGAGCAGATATTATACTTAATTCTGCTAATCCTATCAAGCGCGTTGGTGGTGGTGGAGGTGGTCACAGGGTGAGAGATAAAAATTTAAAAAGGCCTAAAGCCTGTCTCTTATACACATCTAGATGTGTATAAGAGACAGGGTCTCCTGAGGTCTGTTTATTTACCAAGTTATACCATAAAAACAAATTCTTGGTATTCTTACAAGGACATGCCATTCACACAACTGAGATATCATTGGTAGAAAAAATATCTTTAGTAGAATTTGTTAATATAAATTTAGTACATATAGTATGAATCGAGTAGTACCAAATAAAAAAAAATTAGTTTTTATGTTCAGGGAATTTACTATTTGCTATTTACTACTATCCTGCTGAAAACAACTAGGATACATTTTTTTTTTCTAATAATAAATAAGTAAAATGAATCTCAATATGTACTCTGCCATTTATATACCCCTTCATAGGCCTTGGCAACAACCATTCAAATCATCTTTATTTTTATAGTAGATTTAAATAAATGGCTTTAAAATTTGATAAGCAGTGTACTGGTCCATACACCCCTGTTGTGGACAGATGAGAGCAGCTGGTACCGGTTTACCGGGTAGCTCAGACATGAAGAGACTCTTAGGGGTGAATCAAGTTACTGTACGAGCTAGTTCACACCACGAGCGCTTTGAGACTTCTGTATAAAGCGCCATATAAATCAAAACTACATTACATTACAATTATAAGGAAATGCTATAGCAAATAATATTCAGATGAAATGCTATAGCAAATAATGTTCAGATGAAATGCTATAGCAAATAATGTTCTGATTACACATGGTAGGTTGGCACATTTTTAGAAATTATCATTATGCATAAGTGAATTGAGTTTGCATTGAAAGAATGTTGGAGTATGGTGTACTTTGATTTGTTGATTTATATATTTCTTTTTAATAGAAATGCCTTAAATAGTGTAATATCTGCTTAAACCCTTCAGATCGTGTGAGCGTTTTAGAAGGGGATTCGCCACCGCCATGCCATATGTACCTGCCCCTAAGGAACACATAATTGCAAAAGTCAGGGTGAGCCGTAAATCTGCGCCAGTCAAGTTTGCTACGCATTCACTTTATATATTTATATTTTTAATTTTTGGTGGCAACAACAGTTTCGCTGTCATTGAGGGAAAATGTAATAAATAACTGTGAATATTGTCAACATTATTTTCAAGATATTTTTTATTAAAATTGTTTATTTCTGATGTACTCTATTAATATTAAGATTATATTTGATGGATCCACATGAACAAACTACATCATGTTTTCATAATCATTTTATTATATTGCTTTTACTTTTATTTAGTTTATATTTTTAATTTTCTACTTTGTTTTGTTAGTAAATTTAGATGCATCAAATATTTGGGTGCCACTGTATCGAAAGTGTTTTTCCAAAAAACTGAGATAAAAAAATATGAAATTGCAAAAATGGGATGTTTGATTATTTACCAACTGAGACATTGCCCGACGGATGTCACATGTTACCTCAGTTGCCATTATTCCCTTGCTCAGCAGTGGCACATTGAGAATATTTTGGATGGGGAACGGTGATGCAAGTAGCTATACAGAACCCAAGGTATGAAGGGGAAGAATCTATGGTCGAAAGAGGAAGGTTTTTTGAGATATTTCTTTACTTATGGGCTATTCCATCCAGAAACTTTGACCAATCCACACTGTAAAGTATTTTTTTTTGCTCAAAGGATACTCAAAGACCAACTAAAAAAAATCATTATAGTAAAAGAGGTGTGCGGAATAGTAATTACTGCTTTATTATACTGACTGCATATTAAGAGATAGGTCAAAGCCAAATTTTTGGCTAAGATTGAGAGGAAATCAGCCCTTATTTTTCTAATTTTTGCACTGAAAATATTTTCCTGCGCAAGCCCTACATACCTGCCAACCCTACCGATTTAGGCGGTAGGCTACCGATTTTCTCACTTTTCTACCGCCTACCGAATTACCAGGCTGTTCCTACCGATTTTTAAAAATTGAAAATCAACATTATTTTATGCTAAGTTCTCAATCAAAATAATCTTGTTCGCCGTCAGAATGATGCGCTGCCCTTAAGCCTCCGGCCACACACTCATAATATAATATTTAGGTAAACAACAGCAACACCAGGTGTCAACTGGTGTTTTCTAGTCTTTGTACACTAGACACCGCAAGCTATATTATTTTTTGGCGCCTGGTGCAGTAGCCTATGGTAACTCGAGGCGTGCGTGGTGTTGAGTCGCCTAGGATAGTGTGTTGACTTTTTTTAATGCATGAGTTTGACCAACTGAACATTTCCATCCTTTCCATTTTTTGTACCTCTAAAATTGATTATCTAAACCCTTAAATTTACTGAACTGTTATAGCTGCACCCCCCTGGATCCCCCATTGTTGGGAAAAATTGCCCCCGCCTCTGGCTTTGCACTCGGATGGCGCTACGCACCATTTTCTCAATAACTTCCTACCTCTTTTCTTCTTTTAAATGTTGGCAGGTATGGCCCTATTTTACAGTCTAGCGACCATGTTGTAAATGATTTCACCATCACAAGTAGTGATTTTTTTGGCTACTGCCAGGGGAAAGCGTTCTTTTTTCCACCCTTTGTTCCACCACTGCTCAGTCTTGAAATACATACATACCTGTATGACGTAGGCCTACGTAGAAAATGGCCTTGACCAAATTTCTCAACTTTTTTATTACGTTCTTTACGATATCTGACAGACGACCAACAAGCCACCCCAGTTATTTTGACTGATAAATTACATTTCCTCCATGATTACATATAGCAGCGTAATTTAGTAAGTTACTAAAGATCATGCTTAAATTTTAAGCGCGATAAGTAGTGTGCTGGCATGTAGCTCACAGCATGGGTCGTCATCTAATGTAACGGATAAAACGGTGTTTATTGGTTTTTGCATGAGCGGACCAATTAGCGCCAACTGACACCCAGGTAGGCCTACGAACGAGGGAGCAAGGGTGCAAAACCATTGAGGTATAGTAAATTATAAATCGTCGTGCATTGCAAATATTTCCAATTTAATTGCATCCTAGTATAAAGCAACACCAATGATAATAATACTTACCAGCATGACTTGATGCTCAGAACAAACTGACAGAGCGAACAGGCAATCGATTTGTTTTGAACGACTGCTGCGCTGGAATGCGTTCTGCCTCCGTGATTTCGATTTTATCAAAGACAAACTCCATCATATCTGTATAATAATAAGCAAGCCAATCGCCTGAACTTAAATGAGATGCCATAATTTTGTGCCTTTAAAGAGAGGGCGCTGCTTACTTATTGCCTCTCAGTGCGTTGTGTAGTTTTCATAGTCAACTTTACACTTCGAGGCATTTTGACTTTAAATTTAATTATACATTAGTATATTTATCATATTCATCAGCGTCATCATCTCTGTATTCGTCATTATCATCACATCAGGATCAGCTTAATAATAACTAGAGCACTACTACTACTCCGACAATGTATATATATTAAACCCCCCCCCCCCCAGACACAAGGGGACCCGACGTTGTAGTTTAAAAAAATATATATAATATAAACTATAATACCATAGTTTCATTCAATGGGGTCCCGACAGTATTAAACATTGAAAATACACTGGCATGGCATCATCATAAGAGACCGGCATCTCAGGGCTCATGTAAACGATCACTGCAGTTTTTTGTTATTTTTTTTTTTTTTTTTTTTTCACCATTCTATGTTCTCTGACAACGCAGTTCACAGTTCATCAATGCCATAAGTTCTAAGCGGGGTCGAAGCCCTCTCGGACCCCGACCGGGGTACTACGAGGCCCCACTAGCTCCAGCGTCTCTTTGTTCGCCCACTCGCAAACCTAAGGAGCTCGCTTAAGGCCCCCAATAACAGTCACCGCCACTGCGCCCGCCCACATAATAATTACCCTGTATATAATTTCCATGCATCTTTTCCTTTTGAAAAAATCAGAATCTCTACCTCCACCAGGATTCGAGACCACCTGTCGCTTACAAATCGAACGTAAGACCAACTGGACAACTAATAACGTTTTAGTTATATGCGATCCGGTAGCCACTGGGAGTCTTCAATCATTGTTCCATGGCCCCTGACAAGCCATTCTAGATATAAAAGCCTTACTCCATCATCAGGAGGTCTGGGACCGTTTTAAGGGTCTCCACAAGCACACCCCATCCAGAACGAAACCAAAATTAAATATTTTTCTTTGGCAATAACGAACCATTCCAGAAAGGTTTCAGGTGCATTTGTCTTTTTTTTTCTTTTTTTTCTTTTTTTTGATATATCTAAGTGTGGAAAGTTCCCTATATATAAATGATCCTTATAATTATTCACACCCTACTCTGCGGTTCGTCACCAAAATATGGTCATTTCTTCCTTGGACTATGACAAACCTCTTTTAAAAGTTTCATTCAGATCTAATGATGAGTTTTATATTTAGGTGTGGGACTTTAGCACACACACAAAATACACGCAAAAAATTGAACGAAAATATAACCTCCAGCTGAAATGGTGATGATAATAATAATAATAATAATAATAATAATAATAATAATAATAATAATAATAATAATAATAATAATAATATTGGGCCTACTGTAGTTATATTTTTAGCGCATATTGCACATTGCCCCTATGCCCTTTATATCGAAATGATATATATTATTATAGTTATTATTATTATTATTATTATTATTATTATTATTATTATTATTATTAGTTGTTCTTATGTATATATGTACATTTTGCTGTGTTAGGTCTACATTTTTCTTTCAATGTTTTTGTTTTCTAGACTTGAACTTTATTTAAAATTTTAAAATAGATTTTAATTTTTTGAAAATGATTATCATGTTTTAAAATTTGTATATTTTTATTTAAAGCCGAATAAAATAAAAAGATGCAGACGATCATGATAGAATAAAACAATGTTAGCATAGAAGAACTAAAACTAAAATTACCGTATAGTTGCCGAAGGACTTAAAGATGGTACCTTTTTGTCAATAAGAGGAAAAATTAAATACAAAAGTTACAAATTACTTGGTTCAATAACTACTACAAAGATATTGAAAACAGAATCACTTTTCGTAACTGCATTTGATAAATACTGAAAGCGTTGAAAATTACAGGGTGTACCAAAAGTCTGAAACCTTCTTCGGTAAAACCATTTGCAATCTAACACTAAAAGCACATTTGGAAGATAAAACTTGTAGAATTATGTTGATACCAAACTTAACCTCATTTGTGATCCCTTAAAACACGAGCAACAGCTTTGGATACATAACATGAAATACCATGCTTTTGTTCAATGTATTTTAATGTTTCCTTACGTGCGTGTATGCATATGCAAGGAGAGACTTTGCCGAACACGTTTTCATTACAATCGATCTAAATTATTGTGACTGTTGCTTTTTATAACAGGATGATTTGAATTCTAAAGTTAGGAACACCATGGACATCTTTTCCCCCTCTTTTTTCTCTCCCAATTCTTCGCAAAAGCGTTAGGCCAGTAAGCCCAACACCTCATTTAAAGCAATCTTTTATGCACGAAGTTATTACCATGTATAAGACTACCCTTATTTGGAACAAAATTCATATACTTTGTGATGTTTGTTCCAGGTTGGAGTCACTGTTTCACTGTTAGGCCTTTCCTATCTATAAAATAATTGTTTGTATATCTTACTGTAGGTTTAAATGTAAGCACATCCCCGCCCCCCACCCCCCAAAAAATTACCCATATTTGGTATTATGAGATAGGCCTATGGGCTTATACACAAATACGATAATAACCTTGATATCTAAAAATTATAGGTAATTGATTTGTGATGATGGTACTAAAAAAAGTAATAACAACTAATACATATGATACTAGACCTAATGAAAAATGATGATTGTTAATGATATTAATCATTTATGTTAATAATCAATCAATATATTATATTAATTTGGTGCGACAGTGTGATGCGATCGCTTTGCTCTTCAATATAGATTTAAAAATTGTATTTTTGTATTTTTGTGTACGGTATTTTTTTTCTTTTTAGGCATAAACACATTATTATAAGAAAAAAAAATCCTACCGACCTACCACCCCCCCCCCACTTTTTTTTTCCAAAACTTGACTAACACAAGATTATTTTTTTGGCCTTATAATAAAAAACAGAGAAATTGTCAAAAAAAATTAATAAATAGGTGTCTTTAGAGGATATAGTATTGTAAAGCTTTAAAATTCTAGAAATAAACTCATTTTTAGTGGAGTCAACCAAAAAGCACAAAGAAAAGACAAGAAAAGGAATTACGACAGTGACGAGACTTCATTAAACGGTAAAAAAAAAGTCGCCAAGTTACAGTCAAAACTAAGTTCATAGACCTGGACCTGAAAAGAAAATGAAGATAAACAAAAAAAAATATTTCCTATAAAAAACGCTGCAACTTCTGTAGCTTATTCAATTTGAATTCCCCAATTTTATACAGCTACTTCAAAATTTATCCTATGTGTAAATTTTGTTATAGTATTTAAGTTAGCCCTATGCTTATTTATAGTGTTAAGGATAGGCCAAATTTTTTACTCCAATATGCATAATACTGTATATGAAGTAAAGATTATTTTAAAAATAAAACTGATGTAAAAATAATAAAATGATCCAAACGAATATGGAATTATCAAAGGGTGGGTAATCCAAGATTCTTCCTGCGGCTGGGCTTTGTCTGGGCTGTAATCCCATATGGTAGATTAATTAAGCTCTCATCTAGACTCACATAGTTCCAACCTGAGAAATTTGAAATGCGTGACTACACCAGTTAGGAGGGGGGTTTGGGGTTGGGACCCTGGTGGGGGCCTGAGTTCCACTCACATAATTGTTTTGTGACAATATAGACCGCATGCACGCACGCGACTATATAAATTCTACTGAGGGCGTGGCTGGCTGTTTTTAAAATTTCAACATTTCCCCTGAATTTGTGATAATTCGTTAACACGCATATACTTGTTGTAAATGCGTGAAAAATTATGATCACGCATGTGTTTCTACAAGATGCGTGTTTCATCCAAAATCACTTTGAAATGCGGGACCGTCCCGCACGATGCAAGACGGTTGGTAACTATGGACTGAAGGCTCGACCACGTTGATAACCTTCAGATAGGCTTCATCATCAGCTATTGTTGGTCCACTGCTGGACAAATGTTTCAGGGTGTGGACGCCAAATCAAATTTTCTCTGGCTGTGTTGCACCATTTCACTCTTCCAAAATAAATATCGATCTCATCTCTTAATCTTTTACGTTGTTTTCCCTTGTTCGTTTTGCCATCCATAGGGTCTATAACTGTATTTGTTTGTACTTCTGCTGACTACAAGTTCAACAACCAGAATAAAAACCACTGAGCCAAACCGCATTTTTACCATTATTGTTAGTAATATTAATAATAATAATTTAATATTATTTTATTTATTCATTCCTCTCCCCCACTAGCTTGTTTTGTCGAGTATTTACAAGTTTTCTATTCGACTGGTCGTCTTCGTTAAGTAGGATTGTACCGCTGCGCAGGTCAGTGGTGGCGCCAGAGGGGGATGGGGGGCTATATCCCCCTTCCCCCGTCGGTGATTTTTTTTCCGTACGAAACATTTGCATGAAACTCCACTCGGGTTGTCTCGACTGACTCGACTCGAAAATCTCAATTCTGGGGGTCAAAAGGTCATCAACCAAAGAGATACAAAACTTGCTGGATTGCTGCTCGCTGTCTGATTTTGAGAAAAAAAACACATTGCCATGCTAATATAATGGATCGTTTAAAACGTGTATTATTTGATTTCGCTGCACGATTAATAAAAAGTGTTAGGCCCTAGGCCTATTTGAATTTGAGTTAGATACTGTGAACATTTTTATTTTTTAGTTGGCCGCGGTTTTGGATAATAATCCTATGTCATGACGAATTCAAGTCAACTCGGCTCCAAGTTAACTCGGCCCCAAGTCAGCTCGGCCCCATGTCAACTCTGCCCCAATTTACTGTGTACGGTATTTATTGAATGTTTACCAAGAGATTTGAATGCAAAGCCAAAATTAAAGTGTTTTTATTATTTCTTTTTTATTTGTTATTTCGTTTCATTTACATGCACTTACAATAATTAAAACAGCATTAATAAAAATACACTGTAATATTAAAATGATATTAATAAATTATACAAAGGTATATAGAATAACTAATAATAACAATATATACTTGGGGGCCAAGTTGACTTGGGGTTGGTTGACATGGGGCCGAGTTGACATGGGGCCGAGATGACTGGGGCCGAGTTGACTTAGGGCCGAGTTGACCTGCTTCCGCCTGAATTACCGTACTAAAATTAAGACAGGGAGTTTGGATTATAGGCCTAATATAGTATACTGTACTGTGGTGCATTGATTACAAGGCTTTAGGCTAAGTTAATTAATGGCGAAATTATATATGGTTATTTATAATTATTATTGTTATTAATATTATTGTTATTGTTACGGAATTTAATATTAATTACATTACAAGGCTTAGGCAAGTTCATTAATGCCGGAGTGATATATTTAATTTATTATATTTAATATTTTTTTACTCACTGCCCCATTTTAATTTCATGTTTTAATTTTTTTTCAACATTTCAGTCAATGGCATGCGAAGCGTGACCTTTGTGTCAGGCCTAGGAACCTATGGGGCAGTCTGGCGGAAGGTGGGGGGGGGGTAGCAGGTAGGACCAACTCAGCTTGGAACTAGGCCGTTCCACTAGGCCCATTATTTAGCCTCTTTTGCTCTAGCCTTTGATAGGTGTACCTATTTACCACTGGTACTACTATAGAAGTGGGTACTATAGCTGTTGTTGTAGTACATTTGATAACAAACATACAAGAAGCTCACAGTTAGTTACAGACGTAGCCTACATCCCATAAACCGGTAAGATTTTAATAAAGAACAGTACAGTAAAGACTAAGGTAATAGAATACTCGAGCGTCACGACATTGCGAAGTGCCTGCTCCTGTTCGTATATCAAATTCGAGTCGAATCAATCCGAGACGACCCGAGTGTGGTTTCGTACGGGAAGACCCGTCGGGGAAGACGATAAATTTTGTCGGGGAACAAACAAATAAAAAAAAAATATTTACATGTAATATTCGTTTAGCCACCATATCGTTTGTGTTAACTTTTCATCACAACAACCACAATAACAATAACAAATAATAATAATTCAATGAGACTAATTAAAAATAATTTGCGTTCTGTTTTGACAAATGTTCATTTAGATAGCCTCATGATGGTTGGAATACATCGTGATAGGTGAAGCAACCTCGACCATGACAACGTGGTTGACAGATTTTATGCAAAATTTCCAAAATATAGAATTTCACTTTCAAGAATGAGGATTTGAAAATAAATTAGATGGTTACATTGCATACTCTTTGTTTCTTGCTGCTTTATTCAAAATGTTTTGGTTTTGGAAGCTGATTTCAACATTAGAAAGCATAGCCTACATGAAGTCATATTATAGTAACTCGATGCCTATCAAATAAGTAATAAAAATTCGTCATAATTCAAATATTCAAATCAAATATCCGTGGCTTCCAGGGGCCTTCGCCCCCTGGACCCCCACCGGGTGCCCTAGGCGGCCCCCTGGCTCCCAGCCAAGTGAGACTCGATTCGCCCCACAAGCCTCCCCGTCGGGGCCTTTAGCCCCTCCGTCGGGCAGGTCCTGGCGCAGGTGGGCGTGGTTTAACGAAGAACGACCAGTCGAATACGGCCAATGCATAGGTCTACGTACGTAGGTACGACGATAGAGCTTAATATACTGTTTTTACGATAATTTAATTACAATTCCCCCTGACTGACACTGATGAACTGGCTGTAAAGATAGCCAAAATAGAGGCTTTCGACCCGCTCGAGTTCTCATTATTTTCCATCCATAACAAACATATAGTTTTCGGTAAGCATTTAGTTTTCCCGTTTCTATTTCATACCCTCTTCGCAGCCGCTGTTTGGTTCCGAAGACGATTTTTTGGTAATTTTCATACCCTCTTCGCAGCCGCTATTTGTTTCCTGAGACGTCTTTCGCAGCCGCTATTTGGTTCCTGAGACAGTCTTTTTGATAACTGCGCGAACTCGATATGGCACGATAACGTCACTTACTCAATGCACATATTCGCTATATTATGGCTAGCATTTCCAAGCGCATGCTCAATGTGTTTTTATAGATAATTTACGAACGTTATTTGGTAACTGCGCAGGCGCATTGCTTAGTTCGGATTCCCATTTCTTCGTAGTAAAAGCTACCGCTACCTACAGTTTCTTAATGACTATTTCCTTCGTTACAGCCTAAAGGTGCGGCGCGAAAACATACTTCGTGCACTAAGTAAGTAAACATAGGAAAACATGTGGCAGGAGCGACAAAGAAGCTGGTCAAAGCGTTTTTGTACCAAATCAAACCGGAATAGACCTTTCCAGAGAATCAATCAAACTCAATAAATGGCTAATCAGAACAGGGCTAGGAATACTAGCGTGCCGTACAAACCATGTGTTGTCCCAAAATCGCACATGTTTGCGTACCTTATGTGTTTACACTGTCGTTCTGTTGAAGCTTAGCAACAATATGGCGGGGCTTAGAGGAAACCATTGGACAAAGAAATATAATTAATTACAACACTGGAGAAGTAAACGTCTCTGGAAATTCCCTCTCAGTAGTTTTCTCCATAGCGTGGTTTAATTAATGGCCTTTAGGCCTAATATATTTTTTGCGGCATCTTTTATACTCACCGTCGGTTTCACATCTGTTCAATCACTACGAGGTTACTTGTCTGAAAACCATCCATGTCGTGCAACATATATTCAGTTTTTAGTACAACACATCCAAATTCCCATTTCAACTCCAACGTATCTACTGTGCCTAGTGACGTACAGACTTTTAACTACAGTAACGTATTTCCGCTTGACCTCAAAAACTGGCAATGTATTTGTATTATAGAAACCAAAATAAGTTTCCATTTGGTACTATGGATTCAGACGAACCATACACAATACCGTTCGAGGATTTTGGAGATGTACGCCAAATTGAAAAATTTGGAGCCGCAGCAGTGATTCACAAGGCGGTATGGAAATCACAGCGCAATCGGCAAGTTGCCATTAAAATCTACCACAAGCTGCCTCAGTATAAAGAGGTCAATATTCTCAGGAAACTTGACCACCCAAACATCATCAAATTTTACGGAGTTGTTAACCCTCCACTTTGCAGTGGAATTGTTATCGAATATGCTTCAGGAGGTGATCTTTTGTCATTTTTGACATCTAAACGTGAAGAAAACCCTGGTGAACGACTTCCACAAAGACAGTTTAACCACTGGTGCCTTGATATTGCTGTTGCCATTCAATACCTGCATGAGCATCATATTACCCACAAAGATATAAAATCTCCTAACGTCCTCATAAGTGATGACATGCATGGAGAAGGTGCGGAGTCATTAAACCGGTTGAAAATATGCGACTTTGGCATTTCAAAAGAACTCACCAGTACAGAATCAATAATCTCCAGTTGTTATGGTGGGTGTACTAGAGCTTGGGCAGCCCCAGAGGTTATTAGGGACCATCGGTTGGTTTCTCAAAAATCTGATATGTACTCATTGTGCGTTGTTTTCTGGGAACTCTGGACGTGTAAACACCCATGGTCGGACAATTTAGATCACGATATTGAAACCAAAGTGAAACAAGGAATCTTCCTGGAAATCCCTACAGATTTTCCAGAAGCGATGAAACCGGTGATTTTAAAATGCTGGCAAATGGAGAGACACAGACGATGTAACATTGACGAAGTAATTGTCTGCATTAAAAGCTCAATGTCTGAGTGCCAGATAGAAGGTAGGGATTACAGTTCATGGTTTCTAGACTTGAAATATATATTATATATTTGCAATTGATGATCATCAATATTACACGTCTACTTCATCAGTATACACATTTTCAGTTTGAACTTCTCGTCATTTTGTCATTATTAACATTACACATGAATAATAATAATAATAATAATAATAATAATAATAATAATAATAATAATAATAGTAATAATAATAATAATTCTGGATTTATATAGCGCCTCACGTTGACACAACCTCGAGTCGCTTAACAACAACAGAGAAGAAAAACCAAACAAATGCAAATGTACCAAAAAAATTATTATCAAATATTTGGTTTCAGTTTAGTTTAATTAAGTTCAAATGATTGGTTTGATGATTATCAATAAATGTTACCGGTATTATTACAATGCTTTGGTAATTGGAATCACTTCAATGCCTGTTACTTTCCTATTCATCCCAAAGCCTTTCATTTTTATATTGTGTCCACTTTGTCTGCTATTAATTGTTAACAAATTAGCATTAAGAGAATGAATAATAAATGCCAATTTCATGGCATCACAGGAACCATAATGTTTTGTTTCTAATAGCATTTTAGTGGTTGTTGAATCTGAGACAAAATCAACCCATTATGCTCTAAGTATTTAAGCCATTCTTCTTTCCTAATATAAATTAAAACAACCAGAATTTCAGCTACTTTATTTTTTGCTTTCAGTCCGTCAAGAAAATAAATCCGGGAACAAAGGCAATGCCCAAAGTGGAGTGATTTCCGAGGATATTATTGAAAAAGACGAAAGTGTGCAAAAGCAAACACGACTAGAAGACCAAAAACTTGATAAAGTACCGGTCCAACTTGTCGAAAACAGCAGTAAATCACTTGAAATTTCAAAAACTGATGTTAAGGAAACAAACTCTTCTCAGAGTTCGGACATTAAAATACAATTATCATGCGATTATAAAAAAGAAGAAAACACGAAAGCAAGTGAGGATGACGACGTTGATATAGACCATGACGATGGCGATAATGATACCACACAGATTAATTATTATCAGAATATCGGTATACAAAGTGAGCCTAAAGTAGGCGCAACAGAGAGTGATGAACGTATGCAAATAAAACAGGAGGGTGTAAACACATCAATGAACCAGGTTACTAAACATGGGTTTTGTGAAGAAGGACATGTCGCTTACATTGTTGATCGCTTCGAAAGTTTCAATGAAGATAACATCGATTCTTTAAGAAGGGAATTTTCCGGTATAGAAAATACTGTAAATAATGATAATAATTACGGTGGGGATGGGGGAAGGATATATCCCCCCCCCCATATTTGACAAGGGGGAATGGTCCATTGTATCATCCCCCCAATATATTGACTATGTATGGGATAAAATGGAGCTTTACACACTTAGAAAGACTGTCACAGAAATAAATTGCACAAAAAAATATTTTTGTGTTTTTAATTCTAATTTCTTCGGAATTGATGAAAACTCCCTAAAATGTGCAGTTTATAGAGGAAATTGGCCTACCGTAACAAGAAATGCGCGCAAAGAATTCGAGAATTTTATGCACTTTCAGAGGATGCATTTGTCAAGGGGTGGGGAAAGATTTTCCCCTTGTCCCCCGGTGTTTTTAATTCTAATTTCGTTGGAATTGATCAAAACTCCCTAAAATGTGAAATTTTTAGAGGAAATTGGGCCATGTTAACAAGAAATGCGCGCGAAATTTGAGGTTTTTAGGCGCTTTCAGGGGATAAAGGGCATTTATAAAGGGGTGGGGAAGATTTTTCAAGGATAGATATTTTCCTCTTGTCCTCCAGTGGTTACGCCATTGGGCAGCGTAGATCAAAGGAGTTATGACAGTTTTTGAAGTGGTGAAGGGGTTGTAGGGTGTTATGAGTCTGGTCATTATGATATCTTCCTTTTTATTCTTGTCTTTATTTTTCTCTTCTCTTTTTCTTTCCTTTTCTTTTCCTCTTCTTTCTCATTCCCTCCCTCTCCCCTCTTTCTTTTCTCTTATTACCCAACCTGGTACGACGGCTTGGTCAGCCCGGTAAAAACCGTCAGGAGAGGGGTAGTTTTTACCCTTCCCCCACCCCCGCGCCTCTTACGACACTGGCTAACACGCCAATCGTCTTAAAAATAATTTTCTACGCCACTGGGTCCTCCAAGTCACTTAGAGCCAGTCTCTGGAGATTTTTTTTATATTATATTGTAGAACAACTTTTCTTAAGACTTTAAAACCATATTTGATGAAAAACTCGGAAGCGGTTAATGAGATACAGATTGTTCAATGTTTAAAAAATGGGGGAAAGGTTAGAAAAAGGGTGGTTACACCCCCTTTTTCCTTAATTTTTAAATATTCAAAAATCTGTATCTCATTAATCGCTTCCGAGTTTTTCGTCAAAAACTGTAAAACTTAAAGCCCAATGCGCCCATCTGGAATCGAAGTATCCTTGAAATAGTACAGTACATACACTGTACATGAATTTAAAAAAAAAAACCAAAATAATTAAGAACAAGGTTGGTTTATACAGTAGTTTAGTTTATATAATGCCAGTTAAATACACTGCATGACACAGGTTGATGCTACAGTGGCCTTATTTATTGTTTTATAGTACAAATTCAAAAAATTTACAGCATTCATTTTGAAAAGAAGCCCCCCTCTGTACTTTGCAAAAGTAGTCTCGAAAAGAAGCTCATCCAAAGTAAAGTAAAAGAAAAAGAAGCCCAGGGCTTTAATTCGAGTTTTTACGGTATGCTTTTTGTGTACATCAGTTGAATAACATATAAATTATTTTTCATCCGGAGCCTGGCTTAAATAGAAAATACAATCGTATTACTTTCGAATTACCTTGGATATGCCAAGATAGATCCGACAATGCTGACCTTCTTTGGACACATAACAACGGATCGTTTTTAATGACGATCCGTTCAGACTGCCACCGACAATCAGCAGACGGCGTCGCGTCGTCTAGCGCTCACATGGAGCGGAGTTAGATTCGTCGTGCGACGGTCGTACGGCCGTCGTACGACGCATGCAGTGAGTGCCCGGCTTTAAGCATGCATTTTTTTAAAATGTTTAATGCTTCATTACCTTTTTGTTTTAAATTGGAAAAGTGCATTATATCTATTTTGACTGTGTTATTGAAAAAAAAACATAGGCCTAATCAAAAAATGTAGTTAGTACCCATTAATAAAATTAACTTCAAAACAAAAGACGCGTTTTGCTTAATATCTCAAAATTATGATTTTTTTTTTAATTTGGCTTATAATGTGTTCTTCTGAATAACTGCAGATTACTGAGGGGATCAAAATAGAAATTTTAATAGATTTACAACTAATTAGCATTCCTACTGTTTTATTGGGATTAATAACCATGATACGGTTGTCAACAGTCCATTCAATTGCTAGTCCCTACGTTCAGTTAAGCTCACTAGACCGGTGTCTGCAACATCCGATTTAGCATCAATAAAACGCATATTTAATTCTTAAAAGAACTGTTGGTTGTTGAGAATGTCTTAGGACTTAATATTTAGAAAATATAAATTTATCTATAATCACTTTATTCAGTATGATCCTCATTTTCAAAATAACTTTTATTTAGGACGTGACGAAAACCCTACTACAGGTGGAAGAAGTGAAGTCGCACCCATGTAAGTACACGTGTAATACTATGGAGTATGCATTCGTAGGCTTAATTTTTACTCAATATTTTGAATGTCACTGTATTTAGATCCCTCTTTCTCAAACAATAAATCACGACCTAAACAGGGGTGGCAAAAGGAATTGTTTGGGTCGCTGAAATTTATTTAAAAAAAAATTGTTTCTATGTATTTTCAATGAAACAACAGTTTTAAAAACAAGCTGTCGAGCAATTTTTACACTTTTATCTAGTGCATCCATATACACACTCGCGTCATAGACAGGCATGTGTTTGATACATTATTTTAAGAGTGTTCCTAACGAGAAAGAGTGGCAGGCGAGTCCTGAAGGTAGATTTGTATTAAAGTTCTTTTATTTCTTGGACCCAAATTTTAACCTGGTAAACATAGCGACCCAACCAGTCTGTACATACTTAACTTAACAAAACAATTTAAAGATTAAACTTATTCTATCTATTATGATACCTGCCTTGGAAACCTTTTAAAGATCAATTATATATTTTTTATATTATTTGAAAAATGATAATAAAAAATATACGAACAAATAATCAATGCACCTCAGATCAAAATTAGTCGAAAGAGCAACTGAAACACATTAATCAGTTGCTAATACTATGGTAAACAAATAACATATTTTCATATAAAACATTGGACCAGATAATTTCATTTCGATCGATCGTATTGTCAACAAATGACATTTTTAGAAATAATAGCCACCTTGTAGCAACTTTAATTCTTCCGTTTAACGTGTTACAATCCACTATTGATATAAAATATTTTTTTTAGTTAACCAATAATAACTTTAGCTTCGGTTGCTATTTCGACGAATTTTGATCACGTAGGCCTAATGAGGTTAAAGTGCATTGATCATTTGTTATTATTTATAAAATGTGTAAAAAAGAATAAATCGATCTTTACATGGTTGTTGGAGAGGTATCCTCTTAAAATGTAATGCTGATTTTTTTTTCCTGATAATAATGGTACGGTACAGAGAGGTTGGGTCGCTAAGTTTACCAGATGTTGTATATATTGGGGTTTCTTTTATAGTATTTTATTATTACACATGTACAAATAACTGACAAACACACACAATTGGTATTCACTGCACAACACGATTATGCACTTGTCAATTGTAGTCTTAGCCGGGGATGTAATTTTCAAAACGGTTACATGCATGTGAAAGTCCCGGCAATGCGGGGCATCGTTTAACGTAGGCCTGTCCGAGCCACTTACCACCGTAGTCCCGGTAAAATGCCCCGCTAATAAGTGATTGGATGATAAGACCTACTTGAAGGTCTAAAATGTCAAAATCAGAGAAGCACGAGAGAGCTAAGGTGACTATAACGAGATGCAATCCCATCTTACACACACATACACCCTGTTCGCAACCCGTGAATTTAGTGTTTACCCTATCAACGGCTCTGCCAAGACTGTGATAATATACCATCAATATACGACACCAAGGTTTAAAACTTGGGTGCCAAGCCAAAGTAGTTAAAAATATCAGAGATGTAGATAATAGCGGATTGCATTTATATTATTAGTTCTTTGTCCTAAAACATTAGTTTTATGATATATTTATGCACTAGGTCACCTGTACCAGTATATCAAAATCTGATATCACCAGTACCAAAAATTAATGACGATTACGGTACGTATGTCCTCATACTCAACAGCTTTACAAAACAAAACAAAAATCAAAATCCGTCAATTTGTGGCAAAGCGTCGAATGTTAAATGACTCAAGCTTCCATAGTTAGTCTCGTCAAATTGTCTCCTACTAGGTTTAATGTCGATGTGTGTCCCCGCCGGAAGCATATGAAATGCTGTTTTAATAAATAAAGAGATAAATATTATATTATAAAACTCCAATAGCATCATTATGGTCAAGATAAAACGTTACCTATTTAAATTTTAATCGAGAGGTTATTTGAACATAATAATTTCTGGAAAGAAAAGTAAGCAAATGAACCATAATAATAACAATGATAACAATGATAATGAAAATGATGTTAAATAATAATTTTTTTTAAAAACGACGAAAGATTCATCTCATATTTGACAATAAAGTGCAACTTGTATCTTGCTAGGGCCTATTGGCAGTTGTAAAGTTCTAAAGACGGATACGAGTATTTGATGTGCCCAAAGCGATGAAACTTTCTGTGGTTAATGAACTGTACCAGATTCTATAGACACTTTTGGAATGTGAATAGGCATGTTACATTTCTGGTGACAGCAGAAAAAAAATCCGTTCTGGTTTGCTAATTCTGTCTGGAATACACCGTACTCCAAATATTGTGTATTAAGCTGCACAATAAAACAAATTAATATGCATAAGAGAAAAAAAAATCTCTATTTTTTTTCACTTCAGCATACTATCGACAGTTCTATATATGCCTTTAACGATCAAAAACAATTTTCAATACTGGATTTTAAAAATATTATTAAAATAGTATACTGTATTTTCAGGCTATGTTGACGCCACATGTGTACCACCAAAAGGGAAATCAGGCGAGGTATGCATTTTCTGTCATAGAATTATATTATGCCCTATGTATATGATTTACCGTAATATTATGACATTTTTAATATACTAAACATTATAACTTTGTATTAACCGCATTTTTGTCTTTCAGGAACTTATGAAATTATATGAACATGTAGAAAAAAGCTACACTGATCTTAAACTTGTTAAGGAAGAGTGTATGGATAACAGCCGATTCCATGGGATATTAAATGATGGAGAACTCCGACACCTGATGACAAATATATATGATGTAGAGAGAATAATGTCTAGGTAATATTGATATAACGCAGCGAACCTAATTTTTTACACACACACACCCACACACCAACCAGCACACCACCCCCCCCCCAACGAGAGCACACCCACGTACATAAACCTACACACAATATATAATATACAGGCATTATGGAAGGCGGGAATATTTTAGATGTTTAATAGTACTCAGTTTAACATTGATAAAATCAGGAAATATTGAAGTATTTTATTCTAATAACTTTGTGTTCCTCAAGACAACCATCAATTATTACATCGTTTTCTCATTATTTCATATTATAATACGTATACGTATACGTATATATTGAAGAGTAGGTTTGCATGTATGCTCCAAGTGAAATAAAATGAAAAAGCAATGAAAAAACGGTGTAAAATCATTGAAAGTTGACATGCGGAACACAAATTTATTAAGCTATAACAAAATCAAACGGATATTTCGATAGCTCCTGCTATCTTCATCAACGTTGAGTTAATATGGCTAGTCTATTTGGAGTTACTTTTGGTTTATTTTAAAGCTTAATATAATATGTGATCGATTTTAAAAATACATATTGTAATATCAGAACCCTACGTTTCTTCTAACCTAATAGGCTTTATACTTGGTTCAACATATGTAGATGGAAAATTCCCGTCATTTCTCAACTAATAACCAATATTATCGAAGGAGGGTATTTACAACCGATCATCAATTTTTCAATATATTCACAGCTTCAAATGAACATGTTGAAATGCATAAGGTATGTTTCACATAGTGTTGTGCAGACCGACTTTTGCTGTCGAAATTAACAATTTCTTCGTGAACATAGAATAGTTTTACAAATGAAAGTATGAATTTAATACAAGTTGGTATTTTATAGGTATGGACATCTCGACTTTGCTGAGATGTTTAGAAGAGACTCCGAAGATATGAACTACAGACTATCATTGAAAGATCTCCAAGAAATCTTTCTAAAACAAGCTAACTGGCTAAAGAAGTTTCACAGTACATTAAAGGTGATTATGTGTCTTCTAATTTTACACACAACACAATTCAAGTTCAATACAATAAACATGAATTTGATTATTTCGTTTGTCAGAGTTTCTATGACGCTGTGGTTGTTGAGAATTTCGAAGACACATCAGTGATTAAAGATTTGAAGGAATGCTTTTGCAAATTACATCAAATAATTCTTAAATGTAATGAACACGAAAACCGCATTATTCAAGACATTGAGCGTCACAGCACATATATACTACCAAAGCTTCGATTTGAATCTGTAGGTGAGGAAAAAAGGAAGTCCCAGGTAAGTCAAAATATGTAAATGATCGACATTATGACGGCGTTAATAATCGTTACAAGCATAGTATAAGACTAATATTTATATAAGTGATGTTTTGCCCTACATGACGTGTTATTTTACCGAATGCTGAGTTAAATACTTGTGAGAACTCACGATCTGATATCTAGCCTAGCGCCATAATTATCCTGAAGGTCTTTCGCTCGATTCCCATCTGAATCGCTTGCGAATTTTTTCCCCAAGTTGGGAACGTACTGAGTATTCGGTACAATGAAACGGCAGGTAGGGCAAAGAATCACTCTTATGATATTCTCGCAAACTCACATCGAAATATCAAATGTTAAGTTGTGCTGAATACCAATATGTATAATTGTTGCCTCTATCAAAACATAAGTTTTTCTTGATCACTTATACGACAGTCACATTTTATTGCGAATAGAGGAGAGAACATAAACATTCAAGAGACAAAACTCAACATTATTATGGCTATTAAAATTTGAATTATATTGTAATACATTTAAGTAGACCTATGTTTTTAACAAATAGTTTATTTCATTGTTATAGAAAGCTATGGTAAGCAATGAAAGTTGGGCTATAAAGATCGGTACCATGTATCTCGTTGAAAACGTAAGACAAAACAGGAGGCGATCAGTAACAGAAAAGAAGAAGTGCACAGTGATTGCCTTTGTTTCATCAGTTATTATTGTGGAAGATAAAGGGTATATGAATACAGAATAAATAATATTATGTAAGATCAGAATATTAACGACTAGTTGTATATTGTCGTATACTAGGTGTATAAAACAACTTCATAGTTTCGAAAATAATTGATGTTGTTGGGGATATCTATACTAAAATTAACATCTACTACTTCTAATAATTGTTCTTGCCCCTGCTGCGCATGGTACTATTATTATTATTATTATTATTATTATCATTATTGTTATTATTATTATTATTATTATTATTATTATTGATACTACTGCTGCTACTACTACTACTACTACCACTACTACTACCACCACCACTACTACTACCACCACCACTACTACTACCAGTACTGCTACTACTACTACTACTACCACTACTACTACTACTACTACTACTACTACTACTACTACTACTACTACTACTACTACTACTACTACCACTACTACCACCACTACAACTACTACGTTACCACTACTACTGCACTACTGATGCTGCTGCTACTACTGCTGCTCCTACGACTGCTACTCAGTATACACCAAATATTGCTAGTAACCAAAAAGTTCGATTATCTCGTTTTGTCTGCCAACCATTGTTTATTGTATACTACAGCACATAAACATTAATTTACTATACTTATACGATAGTGAATACCTGAGAGTGATAGAGTGTACCCATAAAAATAATATCAAGTTTGGAAAACAAGATTATCAGAACATGGACTGCATGGGAGGTGAGAACCTGATACTAACTACATTTGACCCTCTTACCAACTTACCTATCAAAGAATATGAAATCATACTCGAAAACAGGTATTGTCAAATAATTAAGTTTTTAGCATAAAATTGTAAGAGCTAGTTCTGACGTTCTTTAAATTACACCTTAATATATTTAAATTATGTTCAATCTTATCTATGATGATTATTTTTATAAATTATTGTATTTTTTGTGTGATTCTCATGTTTAACTAGAGCAGTCACTCCATAATGCCTCAGTCATGTTGTTAAATACCGACAATACCCGACCGTATGGTTGAAACTGCATTTAGGCACATTGATTCCTTGAGAGCTGAACTATACCGTCAAGAAAATAATGTAATAGCCCGTCATATTGTTTCTTGTGGGCTGTATACCAGCGGCGATTCCAATTTTTTTCTTTTATGCTCGATTGTAAAGAATTGAATTTCGGTTACCTTGATTTTGTACTTTGAACTTTTTTCCACGAAAATTGAAAGGTATATTTCTATATTTTTATGTTACCATTCCATTAAATTTTATGATGATTCATCCATTAAATTTTTTTTGCGTAATCTTTCTAACAGAAAGGCAGACAGACAGACAGAAGTGAATACATAACCTCCTTGGTGGAGGTATTTATAATATGTTTAATATTGACTTCATTAATTCTTTTTTGCTCTCATTACACCCCATAATAACTAGTATAAGTTCTTTGTCTATTATTTTGAATTCTGGAATTGCAGATATAACCATTAATGATAATTTGTCTTTCATTTTCAAAAGTATTTCTTAAATTACAGACAAAGAGTAACAGCAACTGCAGTATTAAAACGAATTCGATTTAGAGTGTTCAACATTGTGCTTCAGGATGATTATCTAATGATACTCTTGGAGAATCCAGAGGGGGTGATGGTCGGTCGCCGACGTCAGGAACTCTCAAACCCAACAAATTAAAGTGTTTTTTTCTTTACATTTTTTTAGGCTAATTTAATTATTGTTTGCTTTTAGGTCTCAATTTTGATAGTGCGATGGAATGTTGACAAGACAGAAAACTGTTCCTCATGTGCCCCCATTTCATTTACACAAAGTGCCCTTTCTGTAATCCCCCAGCAAATATCTCTACCTGCCTCAGTACTTTACGATCTCTCTAAAAGCCACAAAAGGTGGCCTTTTCAAGAGTTTAAACAATGAATTTTCACATGTGTTGCATTCTTAGTGTCACAGCTCCTCGTTCAATAATTTGTAGACTCCAGTTTGTGTAAACATTTTATTTTATTATGTTTTTAGTGAAATAAATTTTAATTACAAAAAATGCCTTTAATAATAAGACGCATGAAACGTCTTACGATATTCTTCAAGATTTGTGCACTATGTTTGGATGGTAGAATCGGGGAGCCTTTCCGATTCGTATAATGATTGTACAGAGCGAATTTATTGGTAAATTATCGTACATTGTTGAATAAAAATTAATGTATCGACGGTGTATTGTAAACATAAAATATTCATATGTATAGTAATTTTTGCATACATTTATATTATTAATCATGAATAATGGTGTCTGAATTTCAAACACAATTACATGTTTGCTGTTTGCAAAATTTATTTTTAGTACTGAAATACTGGAATGGATGAAAGCATTCGAATTTTGGGAAGAGGAAAAGCAATTTCAAGATAGCGAATATAGTAAGTTAGACCCACTGTTACGTGAATTTTAATACTCTTATACACATCTAGATGTGTATAAGAGACAGATGCAAAAGCAAACAATAGCTAATTCAGGAGTCCCTATTCGAGAGAGTTCCAAATTAGACTAATCAAATGGTTCGCTGCTGCTCAGATTAAAATCATAAACAAATTTATAGGTGCAACACAATTGTAAATTATAAGATTAAATAAAACTACTTTTAAAACTAATTAAACATTTTTGAAATAATCATTTGAGTTATCCAGCCACTATCCTCCCGAACATATGACTTCATGCCAGTTCTTTGAAAAGGAACAATATAATCTAACAAGTGAATTTCTATATTTGTTGACTCGCTGTGTAAAAAATTGGACACTGTTACTGTGTGCATTTTGTAAAGCAAATGACAGCAGTGACCTCCCTTCTATGTTGGAGACTATAGTCAGTTTCCTACAGTCATTGCATGATCTACTCCAATAATTCGGAGCTTTCTGCTGAATGGAGTCAAGTGGGTTTAAGACAGTTGATGAGGTACTCATCCAAGACAGACAGGCATATTCCATAATGCTGCGAATTTCAGATTTGTAGACAGGTGCTCTTCCTGTGGTATCAAGTTTGTTAGCAATCTTTCGCAGTGCTTCATGTCTCTGCCCAGCTTTTTTCATCTGAGATATGCCTGGACCAAAGAAGTTTGCTCTCAATTTTGACGCCAAGAATAGAGAGTTCTTTCTCCATAGCAAGATTTGTGTTTCCGAAATAGAGATCAGGAATCGTTTGCATCCTTTTTCTGGACAGCAACTTTTTGT